CTGGCGCTCCAGAGCATCTTCTTTTCTCAAGCCATCTTGCGCGTCCTGGCCTTCAATGTCCACGGCGCCATCGTCATCTTCCAGATTGCTGTCCTCTTCCAGCTTGGAAATGTAAGCAAAGAGCTCCGCGCGACGTTGGCTGCTGCTTGAAATGGCGCATCCATGTCAACTGGGTGAAGCCCAAGTCCTCCAGCGACGATGGCTGAGTATAGTGAACCCGGCAAAAATCCACGAAAGGCATATATGCGAGGCACGTCGACATAGATGCAGGGTCGGGGCCAGGGTTTGCGCCCACCTCAGCATCTGTGATTCCTGCCCCTCAGCACCCAACTTGTCGTCCTCTTGAAGCTGATGCAAAGGCCGAATTCCAACCACGTCTCGGATGACAGGCGAGCTCAAGCCTGCCAAGATCCGCACTCGCGCTGAAGCATTGCGCGCCTGCGCGCAAGCCCTCCAGCGCGGAAAATCGTGCCGAACTCTTCCCCCTTTCCTCATCCATGCGCAAGAAGTGGCATGAGAAGCACGACTCATGCAATCCCGTGCGCATAAAGGAAAAGGAAATGACAAGCCCAGCATGTAGGCAGCGTACTTCGCGGACTCGGGCTCCTGCGGCAAGCGAAGATCCACTACGCTGTTGTCCGCGATTCTCACCTCCTGGCCGTGCAAATGCTGCGCACGCAGCCTACCACAAACTGGAACGATTCCAGACGACAATGAGACGCAACAGGACAAAAGCAAGAACTAAGAAACAAAAAGCATCTCCTGTAAGGAATTCTCGAAGTGAGGGTAATGCGTCTCAAACTCGAAAAATCGAACACCATCCGGCTTGCCAGCTTTGGATCGATCAACACGACGCACGTAGCAAGAGTGCGTCACCATAGACATGCATCTCAGTAACGGACGCCGTCCGCGATAATCATCTTTCTGCTTGAACTGCGCAACTCGAAGCCTCGCAGATGCCTTGGAAGGTCCCTTTTGATTGTCCGACTCACTCAGTTCAGCCAGCTCCCGCACGGGCATTGGTCCAGAGTCCGGCTAATCCGGTGATCCACACGCATGTGTGGAGCTCGCAACGATGCCGCTCGCAAAGCAACTTCGCGGCAGCGCATGATGGCGTACTGCGCGCGTCAGAAACATGTTGCACCCATCAAAGCTTACTTGTACGTACTGCCCTTGGTGGTAGAGAAGCTGGTACGCCATTTCTCCGTCGGACTTGCAAATGCAGCTGTTCGCGCCGAAAGCCAAGCGACGAAGCGTCGACGAGCAACGCTGCCTTTGGTCTTGTGGAGTAAGATGAAGCATGTCGATCAATATGCGCTCCAGCGCGCATGCTGCCGTCGCCCCGAATCTTTGGCTTGAAGGCAGCAGCGCCACGCATGGTGATGCTTTTTTACGCCGCTGGCCAGACGTGAGGTCTCTCTGCAAGACGCCGAGGCCGGCTCCAAAGGAGCAAAGCCTCTGGAGGACGAAGTTGCCTGCGCTCTTACTACATAGTTCTTGCACACGCGCAAAAGAGTGAGGCGAACGCTCCAAAAGCCTCTTACATTCACGGAAACACTTTTTACAAAAACATATTTTTTGGAAAACCATGCCTGTGCGAGAGATTCGACCAAGGCATCATGCAGCTGGGCGTTGGTGCGCTGCTGGCCATCTCTGCGAGACGCCGAGGCCGGCTCCAAAGGAGCAAAGCCTTGCCAGCGTCATGGAGTCGTCCAGTTTGGCCCAGAGCCAGTCAGACCCCCTTGCAGCTTCAGCTCTCAGACGCGCTGCGTCAGGAAGGCCGTCCCCGGAATTCGCTACAGCTGTCGAAGACGAAGTCGAAGAGGAAGTCGCCTGCACTCACACACATGGTCCTTGCACACGCGCAAAGAGCAAGGCGACAAGCTTGTGACATTCAGGGAAACACCGTTGACAAAAACATCTTTCGAGCAAGCCCTCCTTTGTGCGGTCTTCGAAACGCGGAGGTCGGTTCCGCGAAGCGTCGCCAGCGTCATGGAATCCAGCCTCGTCCGGAGCCAGTCAGAACCACGTGGTTCCGCTTCGGCTCGCAAGCGCTCTGCCTCGGGAAGGCCATCCCCGGATTCGCAGCATCTGTGGAATACGAAGTTGCCTGCGCTCTTACAACATAGTTCTTTCACACACGCGCAAAAGAGCGCAAGCATCATGGCGCTTTCCATGTCGGCCCGGGGCCAGCCAGAACCCCGTCCTCTGCTTCGGCTCGCAAGTGCTTGGCGTCAGGATGGCCATCCCCAGAATTCCTAGCAGCTGTGGAAGACGAAGTTGCCTGCGCTCTTGTCACATAGTTCTTGAGCACGCGCAAAAGAGAAAGCCGAACGCTTCAAAGCCTCTTATAATAATCAAAAATTGTTGGTCAAAAAGCATCTTTCTGAGCAAAGGCTTTGTTTTCACGCGAAAACACCGTTTGACAAGAATGCATTCTCTGGGAAAACCATGCCTGTGCGGGAGATATGACCAAGGCACCAAGCAGCTAGGCCTGGGTGCGACACTGGCCAGACGTGAGGTTTTTGTGTGAGACGCCAAGGCCGGCTCCAAACGAGCGAAGCCTTGTCAGCGTCATGGAGTGTCCGACCCCGTGCGGCTGCTTCATCGAAGACGCTCTGCGTCAGGAAGCCCATCCCCAGAACTCGCAGCAGCAGCTCTGGAGGACGAAGTTGCCTGCGCTCTTACTACATAGTTCTTGCACACGCGCAAAAGAGTGAGGCGAACGCTCCAAAAGCCTCTTACATTCACGGAAACACTTTTTACAAAAACATATTTTTTGGAAAACCATGCCTGTGCGAGAGATTCGACCAAGGCATCATGCAGCTGGGCGTTGGTGCGCTGCTGGCCATCTCTGCGAGACGCCGAGGCCGGCTCCAAAGGAGCAAAGCCTTGCCAGCGTCATGGAGTCGTCCAGTTTGGCCCAGAGCCAGTCAGACCCCCTTGCAGCTTCAGCTCTCAGACGCGCTGCGTCAGGAAGGCCGTCCCCGGAATTCGCTACAGCTGTCGAAGACGAAGTCGAGGACAAAGTCGCCTGCGCTCATACACATGGTCCTTACACACGCGCAAAGAGCAAGGCGACAAGCTTCTGACCTTGAGGGAAACACCGTTGACAAAAACATCTTTCGAGCAAGCCCTCCTTTGTGCGGTGATCGAAACGCGGAGGTCGGTTCCGCGAAGCGTCGCCAGCGTCATGGAATCCAGCCTCGTCCGGAGCCAGTCAGAACCACGTGGTTCCGCTTCGGCTCGCAAGCGCTCTGCCTCGGGAAGGCCATCCCCGGATTCGCAGCATCTGTGGAATACGAAGTTGCCTGCGCTCTTACAACATAGTTCTTTCACACACGCGCAAAAGAGCGCAAGCATCATGGCGCTTTCCATGTCGGCCCGGAGCCAGCCAGAACCCCGTCCTCTGCTTCGGCTCGCAAGTGCTTGGCGTCAGGATGAGAACTCCTAGCAGCTGTGGAGCCACACACACTCTTTGACTGCCGTGGCAGCACTGACGTGAAGACGAAACTCTTCGTGCTAGTCAGACGTACCATGTCAGAGGCTGATAAACCTCATGCGGGTCAACATGTACGTGCTTGCCCTGAGTACACAGGTCAAGCGCACAACAACGGCTGCGCGTAGGATGACTAGGAACCTTTGCCATCACGTGCGACACACAGACAAGATACGGATTTTCATAGCAGTAGCCATGCTGTGAGCTGAAGGAGTGGTTTGTCAATCTTTCTATCTATTTACCGCATCTAGCCTGAAGTCATCTCATCTAATCTAGCTATCTAACAGTTTGTTTGAAGCTATCTACTGTATGTGCCGGCGTACTACTTTCGCGCTCAGAAGTGAACTTGTTTGTGCGTCCTGCTTTTGTACTTGAAGCGTGCGGTTCCAGCCAAAGCTGCGGGAATGCGAGTCGCAAGTCTTCTGGCGCTCAAAATATAGATTTGTTGAGTTTGCCGCTAGAACTGCGGGAGCAATGCTCCCGTATACTTTTGGCCCGACAAGACCAGAAGAGACACGATTTTCGATCCGGAGCTGTAGCGGAACAGGGGAGTTGAGCCTGCGACCGCGCGCTTGCGAAAGCAGGCGCTCGAAGCACGAGACAATTTTTTAAGGCCGCTTCACGAAGAGCGGATGTCAGAAAATTCGCACGGCCGCAGCGAGCCCACACAGGTTCGCCGAGCTCAAGACAAATTCGCACGGCGCCGCAGCGCACGATCTCCGCAGAGGGGTACGTTTCGCAAGCTCCCGTCGTGCCTGCCCCCGCCAGAAGAAGAAGAACTGAGAGCCGAGAAGCGAAGGTACAAAAAAAGGCTAGCTTGTGTTTTGGGGACAGTGAATTAACACTCAAAAGTTAGCTTGTGCTTTTAGGATAATGAGATAACACCCGAAAAGTTGACATGAGAAGTTGGCTGGTGAGTTGGCAGGTGACAACACTCGAAAAGTTGGCAGGCGAAGTTGGCGGGTGAAGTTGACACGAGAAGTTAGGAGGTGAAATAACTCTCACAAAGTTGGCATGAGAACTTGGCAGGTGAAATAACTCCTCGGCCATTTGGCATGAGAACTTGGCAGGTGAAGTAACTCCTCGGCCATTTGGCATGAGAACTTGGCAGGTGAAATTTGCAGCTGCTTTTAGAAGAAGAACCTTTTCTTTTTCGATGCGACGCAGGCATACCTAACATGCTCAAACGCGTGAGTCGCAATCAAGACCGAAGAGCATGGGGCATATGGCGCGTTTGCCTATTGCGCTGAGCAAGAACAGGCGCGGCAAAGGTAAACGGTAAGTGTATAAGTGTTTGCCACGGGAAGACCTGCAATCCAAGTACGCCTTTCGTCTACGCCACAGACACTTGTGAGGGATCTTAGTTGACCCCATATTTGAACCCCAGGGGCCCCATGACACGGTCGGAGCCGAGATCAGGCATTCACGTTCTGTTCATTCACTGCGCGTGACATTATCTTACGATTCCGCTGTGTATTGCTTCATTTGACGAGAAGCCAGCGCCAACTACTTTGGGGTTCCACGCGCACTTGGAGACACCGACGGGCAGCAGTCAGTCAGTCAGTGGTCTTCAACTCGCCCCGGCTGAAGATGGGGCGCCTTGGCAGAGGGAAGCGCGCACCAATAAGCACAGAACAATCGCAGCGTGGGAGGAGCAATCAGCAAATCGGGATGCAGTTGTGTTTTTAGGAATCAGGTACAATGTTCTTGTATTTGCGTCATTGTGATTCCCTGCTCCCCCCACACTTCTATTGGAACACACTCCTTGGCTTCATGTTCATGTCCAATGTCTGCTGCCAGGATCGTACTGGAGGTTGTTGAGCCAAACTGTGGGCCTTCAACGGAGAGCGTCAAGGATCCTCGCTCCATGTTCTCATTTGCAGTCCTTTGGTGTACATCTTGTCAGGCGTTCTCTCGGACCTCTAGTCACACCATGTAGCATATGAAGGCTCATGTAAAACCTGAGAATAGTTTTGTACGCCTGGCTGAGGCTAAGACAATTGGAACAACTTTGGCGACTCTGTGGCATAGCATGGTTTTTATGCTTACCCTACCGTTGTTCCCCATTTTTGCTGGCGCCGGCTATCTGGGCTGTTCAAAGACAATCCTGAACGCTTCCCGTGGGTTACAAAAGAAATAGTTGCCCATTGATGATGATTGGCACACCCTGGATTTTGTAAGCTACAGTTTAATCCAAAAGAAACCATTCATGTTTGCAAGCCGCCGACCGAAGCAGTGAGGGGATGACCCGAAAGCCGGAGATGCGGTCTCATGGGATGCGGCCCAAGAGCCAAAGGAAAGCCAGAAGTTAACACTGGTACTAGTAGTGTGGTTCCTTTTCGTTGTCGTGGACACATTCCCGGCTAGAGGTGCAAAACATCAGGTTTCGGGAGAGACGCTTACCATGTCATTCCCGAAACGGTGTGAGGCGCGAGGCATGGATCCCGCCCTACGACGACTGGGCCAAGGAGGCCGAGACGAAATTTTGGCCGGGGGGCTGAGCCTTGGGCCCTGGCGAAAACGTCGCGACACCGATAAAGTTTCCTTGAAGAAGCTTCACCGTTTTTAAGTTTATGAGATCTTGGCACTGCGCAAGAGTCTTTGCATTGCGGTTCCCATTCTGAGACAAGCGTCTTAAAACCGAAGCACAGAGAATGTCTGGTTACCTACTGTAGTGGCTTGCCCACGGTTCATGGAAACCGGCTATTGAGCGTTTAAGTTGAAACAGAAAAATATGTATGTTTATTCTACTCTGAACATACTAATTCTGGTTGGAGTCTTTCCTGATTAAAATGTATTTGATACCAGTTGAAATCTGGGTAGAATTTGATCAATCATGAAGTATTAGGAAAGAATTCAGAGGTCCCGAAATCGTTTTCTTTCTTTACCAGCCCCAGCACTACCATGGTTTTAAAGCGCCGAAAAACACAGTTTTGTGCAGCGCGTTTCGTACTCAAATCACAACGGCCTTTTGTTTAAAATTGAATTTTGGACTTGATAGGGTTTAAAAGCTTGGAATTTTGGCAGAAATCATGTCTCGATAGAACTTTCCAATTCAATCAGAGCTGGAACAGAATATGATAAGGACAGAATCCAAGCCTATATTTCAGGTTCAAGGTTCAATACCACCTTTGCAAGCCTTCCCTGCAAACGTGAGTCCGGGCCCCACAGGATTTCCTTCCAAACGCAATTTCACACTTGAAGTTCAATTACTATAAGAATTAGATTGCCGCTTGCGCCGCGCAAGTTCCGGTATGGAAATGGTTCCATGGACAGGACGCGGATGAATAGGACTTAGACGATGACAAGGGTGGTGTCTCAGGAGCAATGTCGAGACCTCAAAGGCAACATTTGCATGGCCAGATCGCCGGGCAAACGCAGAGGACGGTCATGGAGGTGTTCTGTCCGGGACACTTCCAAGAAGAAGCCGGAAAGGCGGGCTACAAGTCCGTGGGCGTCTAAGACCTCAGCGAGGGCTAGGACTGGCGAGACCCGCGGGAACGTTGGATGGTGGAGAATGTGATTGAGGTGGAGGAGCCTGACATGTTAATCATGTCCCCTGTGTGCGGCCCCTTGTCCCGGACGCAGACCCTGACGCCGTTTGGGAAGCGCCGGAACCAAGAAGAAGGTTTGCTTTCAGAAGTTGAGGAGGCGAAACGAATGGTCACTTGGTGTTGCCGGCTGGCCCAGAAACAGGCAAAGAAGGGCAGGCGTTTCATTATGCCTTGTAGCTCGCTGGCGCCACAGTGCTTCAGTATTCTGAGCTTGCTGGATTGCTGGCGTGCCCCAAATTGACAAGTAACTTCTTCACTGAAATCGCTTGTTACACCCTCTGCAGTCCGGACTTGCTGGCCCGCCTGCTGCGTCGCCTTGTCCAGCGCTGCTCCGCCGGAATCCGTCACACCAATGTCCTCAAATACACCTGGGCTTGGACAGATCTCTGTTGGCCCCCTTGATGGTCGGTGCTCATGGTCCCGTAGCTTCTCCAGTAGCACAGCTACTTCAAATTATGATGTCACGAAACCCCAGCGTTTCCCAAAAAGCAATCCGGACATCCACCAAGAAGTGACTCTGGGACAGTTTCCACATTTCTTCCAGCAACCATGGCAAGCAGGAATCATCAGATCTCATCCGGCGGCTACGCCGCCAGTCCTGGACCAAACCGTACGGCAGACCCCGATTCATCAAGTTTGAGACATATATATAGATATATATATATAGTTGAAGTGCAAGGACGACATGTTGAAGACATCCTGCAGCGGGTGTTGGATCAATATCAACCTGGAGATTACGACGCATGGCTGGAATGCTGGTGCGGTTTGGCGAAGAGGTCGGTCCGTCCCTGGGAGAGGCCCCGGGATAGTAGCAGGCGCGGCTGGCGGCAACTGCTGGGTAGCTATGCCGGGGTCATTCATCAAGTGTTCGCCAGAGCAACTGCGAGCGGGAAGCCGGCCGTGATCTCAGGGCTGCAGCGGCGAATTTGTTTCCAGAAGTCAGCGGGGTCAACCCACATCAGAAGAACATCGCTGGAGCCGATTACCCACCAGGGTCGGCCCCGCCTGCAGCCGAGCCTGAGCGTGTGCTCGATTGCTTACAGAGAGCGGTCAGCGCAAGACGCCGGCAGTGGTTCTGCAGTCGATTCCGATTGCGTTGCCTGGGTCTGGATCGCAGCCAATTGTCCTCAGATAGTTGCAGTAGCAATCTTGGGAAGAGCAGATATCTGGATTATCGGACTCTCGCAGAGCTGTGCTGCCCGAATCTTTTTCGACGACCTGCGATAGAAATCGGACACACCCGCCCAAGGGCGCTCATGTGCAGCCAAATGGTAAGAACACCCGTTCAAGCGCGCCCGAGCAGCGCTGTATCCATGCCAGCCAATTGCGAAGAACAGCCGATCAAGCGCACCCGCGCAGCACTGTAGCCATGCCACTCTGAAAAAGCGTGCGGCGACACCCCGCCGGAGGGAACAACAAACAGCCAACAACCAA